ACATTATACAAAGCTTCCAGTGTTTAGGGGAAAGGATTTTGGGTATTCGTAACCAGCTGCAGACCACAAGCAGGGGTGTCTTTCTCACCAGCTGCTACGACCAAGACCACAAGAAAGTACAGCTGCACTGCACAGGTGCTTTAACATACCAGAGGTGAACCTATGCTCTGTTAATTCACTCAAATGTAAAAGGCTTTGGTAAAACTAGTGTACTAGTTTGCAACGTAAAGTAACTCATCATTAATGCCGAATAGATACTGTCACATTAAGTCAATCTGGGGATATTTGAAAAAAGTCTCACCCGGCTGTGATGTCCTGCTGTGAAGAACAGGGTGATGAACACAACCTGGACGATGGAAAGGATGGTGATCCACAAAAGGAAGACATGAATGAGGGAATGCTGGGTAGTCTGTGGCATCGTCAGTCCGACGGCAGATCTCAGAGCGGCCTGAGCCTGGGGAGCGCAGGAAGAGAGATTTTAAGAGCTGACGACTGTGCAGGTCCGGAGTTTCCTCTGCTGTGCACCAGAGCAGTGTGTGTGGTTGCTTCCTGAGCTCAGAGTGTGCATGTGATAAGGACGTTTTGATGTCTGACAGTGTTCTGCTGTGCCCTGAGTATCTATAGAACACAGAGAAATCCAGATGGTACTTCCCCCTGTTTCTTACTGCAGGCAAACACAGGAGGCCCAGATTATTTTGTCATCTTGGGGCTGGCCCTTCACTCTTACTCACCACAATTCACTCAAAAATAAGGAACACAACTCACTACTAGGAGGAGAAGTAAGCAGTCAAGAACTTTTACATACGTTTTTTACGAAATGAATCATTCAGTTCCTTGTTTATGTTGAGACTTGTTGAGAGAAGAGGGTTTGGGTGGTGATCCTTTTTTAAATAGTTTTTCTGCCAACATTGAAATTCGCAGCCTTGCAGTTTTTTCTTCATGTAACCCCTTTCTCTTTGCATGTCTTTAGATTTAATAAAGTAGAATAATAGTATTTAACATACTCAGAATTCAGAATAAAATACAGAATGCCAGGAAGGGTTAATCAGACAACAAATAATAAAATAATAATACATTTGTTTTACTTTGATTTATTGAAGATTTCAAACAGTAATGCCTGATTTCGGCAATTTATTCCCCCGTTCCTTGTTTTCCATTAGTTATTTAGGAAAAGTCTTATAAGACCAGGAATTGGAGATAAATCATTGTGAAGTACACAAAAATAAGCTATGATGAAGTGTATGAGAAACCACTTTTCAGAATCTATATGTATTGCAATTCTGTGACAACATTACTAATGTAAAAGCTTTCGTATATTTCCAATTGACAATATGTAGTTAATAATGTCAAACAAATGTCAAAGTCAAATACGTGGGACTCACTAAATGTCATGTGTTGTTTCCTCGTTGCACTTTGAAAATTACCACCAGCCTCTGAATTCTGGTTGAGGTCAGTTCACCTGGTTTCACTTTTTATGTTTGTACTCTGCTTGGGGAAAGTTTCCTGGCTGAAAAACAGGATGGGCTTTAGTTCAGGTATGTGTCATCATCAGACTGAGTGTAGGAGGACAAAGTGACACCTACATACAGTAGGGTACCTTTATGACTGGTGATGGTCAAGTAACACGGTTACAAACAACATGCCCAGACTTGTTACTGACTTTCACTGTAGATGAAGGCTGTGGAGAAGTAGGATTGTACTTTAGTGAACTACAAACAGAACATAACACGTGAAGAGGATAGGAAAAAAAAAAAAAAAAGGAATTGCGTAGTCAGCAGTATAAAGTTGTGCACATTTGAAACATAGTGTACATTTGAAACATAGTGACTTTGATGACCAACATGACAAAAAGGAGAAAATAAGGAAATGAGATTGTTTGAGCAATGTTTGTGGCTTAACCCTGCGTTTTCGAATGATGAAATACTACTCCCTGAAAAATGCTAAACCAAATGCCATAGCCCTTCATGAATCAGAGTTGTTTTCACTGGCATGGAGGAACCCTGGCATAATTACTCTTTCAAAATGAAATTTCATCTAGGATTATCTCGGATTGAGTCCGGAAGGATAATTGTGTTATGATCTACACCGGAAACCATGACTAGTTGCTAAGTAGAATGGAAAACCAGCTTGAGTTACTACGACAATAGCATGATTATTGTCTGACTGACTTGCATTAAACAAAACACATCATGGAAATATTTAAAATGTATAACAGTTAAAAATAATTGAATTTAAATTTAATTGAAATGAGCAGAGGAGGAACCACTGTCACTTTAGCCATTTTAGAGCCCTATTTCATTAACAACTGTTTTATACAACAGTATAATAACTTCCTCTGATTTACCAGCCGCTAAAAGTGGGTTTACAGCCATCTAGTGGACGTTAATAAACAAAACATGGAAAGAAAGAATAGAAGATGTGAGAGAAATAAGAATAATTACAATAGGCCACATGCTTTATCACTCTACTGTAAATGTAAAACTGTATTATCCTATGTATGTAAAACGGGTTCAATGTTTCAATTTCTACTATACCAGTGAGGGATTCCCCAAGTCACAGGTAGAAATGCAGCTGTGGTGAAGACACGTTTACAAAGATGATTTTATGTGTGATTAACAATAATTAAAAATACACAATATCATTCATTTTGAGAAGAACACCTCATCTCTCACCATTGGAAATAACACTATTATGTGTATCCAAAAACTGCAATGGAGAAAGGAATACACATCCAGCGAAAAATTGAAAATAACCTGCAATAAATGAAAATGGACTTCCTTACACCCCTCCCTCTTTTTCTTTTCCATTTGTCACTATCTTTTTCTGATTTGCAGGTTAGTGAAAATATCAATACACCTTTTATCAGTTGTACATCAACATCAAAAAGGACCAAAAATACAACAATTTCACTAGTTGTTTCAAGGAAAGAATGGACTTGACAAAAGAGACATCAAAGCTTATAATGTGTTAGGATCATTCTATATTTATTCCCCCAGTTTGAATTCTTAGTTTAATTGTTTGCCACTCTAATGTCACATGTCCTTTTCAATGTATTAGACATTTAATTATGGACCAATTATTCTCACAGTGGCAGAAAACTAAATCTATATTTTTCTGTTTTCTCTCTTTGGTTTAGATAAAAAATACAGTATCAAATATAACAGAAACTCTGAGAAAACAATATCTTTTTTTGTCTTATGCCATATTATCGAATATTAACAATAAGTTACAACAAATTGAATAATTGACCAAGAAAATTATTGATATTTGCAGCCGTAATTCATGTGTCAAACAGTGTTCACAGTTTCTGAATGTAGTAAAACATTGAGAAGCCGAAGCAGCGGTGCTTCTGTCTTTACACCAGGTGGCAGGACACCATGTCTTTTCAAACCTTCTTGCTGACATTCCAATACCAGAAGAAATTACTAGGAATTTGCCTTGCTGCGTATGTACTATATACACCAAGGGACATTCCTTGTATGTGTTAACCTACTTGGCAATAAACCTGTTTCTGATTCTGAAATTATTGTAAAAAAATTAAATGTAACTGCTCTGATGCAATACACTTAATTCTATAAATGTAATTCATTAATTTTACATACATATTTTAACAGAAAATAAAAGTATTTTTTCCAATAGCTTCCATGTATCCGGCAACTTTAATTTAACTTTAACCTTAATACCAAAATGTACCACTACACTAGACACACAGAACACACCTATTTTATGTGGGATTGTAATGTTTGTTCCGGGTTTTTTGAAAATATTTTTTTATGAAGAATCCATGATTCTTTGGACAAATAACTTCTATGTAATGTAAAGCTTACAGAGGACACACCTTCCTTCAGATTTACTTTTGTCTTTCCTACATTTGTATATTTGTGCAGGGGTTTTCAAAATGGTTCTAACCTAATATTTCTAGGGTGTAAGAAAAATAGAGCACCCACACTTCATACATATGTATGTATGAAGTTGAGTTTGAACTGGGCCTACAATAACATAAACAAACCTCTTTATAGTGCAAACAATACTAAGCTTTGAAAAATAAGAATTATTGACAATTTTGTTTATACATTGTACTTAATGTTAAACATTGATGCAGAAAGCCTAGTGTATTATTATTATGGCAATGATTGTTAGCTTATCTTTTGATAATGTTATGTTGGGTAAAAGTTACTGTAATGTTTTTTTCAGATATGTCTTTATTTTTTAAGAAATGTTCCCTTTTACAAAGGCAGTACCATGGTAACCCCCTAGTGGACGAGGACCGCCTGTTGAAGACCCATGGTCTCTGGTGCATTGGCAGATAATCAAAAAGCAGCAGTCAATATTATGGAAAAATGTATCGAATTGAAAGGCAACCTTGCCTGTATATCATGTATATGGCACACATATAATGCATAATCATCAATTTCGTAAAATTATATTTTCCACTAACAAACAACTTTTTAGAAGTTAAACTAGCTGAACTAGAATGGCATCCCGATAATGTGTCCTATAGTACCAAGGCCACACTAACTGTTAGACTATATAGGATATCGATATCAGCAATTGAGCTTATTAAAAATAGCTGCTGGTGTTTATTTTCAGCATTGTTTGTGCAAACGAAAACAAATCTCCATATATCTGCGTCTATGACCTGGAGAAGGTCAGAAGCTGTATGTGGGACGTCCTCACATGGGTAAGACAGTTTAATAGGACATATAGGACATCTCGTGAAGAGGGGCAGGCATCACACAGCTGTAGGTCAGCTGGATCGAACCTGTTGTGAGCGCCAGCCTCATCACAGTTAAAAATTGATTTTGTTGGCTTTTACCGCGGACTGCATCAAGTCGGACTGAATCACAGCGGAAACGATATGATTTTCAACCAAAATTGACGCTTCACAGTCAGCCGACCAACGGCAGGGAGTAACATTCATCAAGAGGGCGTTTTATTTTGAAAGGCTTAACCGGATGCCATGTTTTCCATTCATGATTGTCTGACACGCATGTGAACGCTGCTCTCTCTGTTCGGGAGGTAACACGCTCCCACTCAGAAGAAGTTTGTTGAGAGGTGTAACTGAGGTGAAATTTACTCGGTTTGTGTTCCCTAGTATTTCCAATTAGCCTCCATCTTTGTTTTCTCTGCACTTTCGCTTTTTGGTGACTAACGTTACCTCAACTAGCGGTCGGTTGGTTTAACCAGGGTGCTGCTGTCAAACTTTCGTTGACATGGATTTGTTGCACCAACTGCGGACGGACTGAAACGTTTGGGAATTACCATCTCACTATAGTGAGATACACCTAAACGAACCCATTGCAGCTACTTTTTAAACAAGTTGTCATTAACTGATTTAGCATAAGACATGCAGAAGCTCAATTCCACCGGTACGCACGGCAACACGCTGCCCCGGGACGCGGAGCTCCAGCTGCGGTTAGCGGACAGTGCAGGGGCCGGGGACGGGAAGGAGAACGGCGGGGGGAAGCATTTCCTCTCCCAACCCGAGGAGGAGAGCTCGTTTTGCACCAAGAGGAGGATGCTTGTCTGTTTGGATGTAATATGCCTTTTTGTTGGTAAGAATATGTTATTACTTATTTGTAAATGAATGTTGTTGACCCTTAGGCAAACAGGTTGTTGTTGTTGTTGAACAACTGCAGTAATGATATGTTAATAACACTGTGTCACTTGTCCTTTTAAAGCTTAATTTAGACTAATTAATATTTTTGAAGAACACACACAGTCCTTGTCTGTTGATTGATGTGTCAACAGGAGCTTTGCAGATCTTTTTCAGAGGTTATGAGGAGGTTAAACGAAGTTGGCTTTGAGAAGGAAAGACACATTGCATGGGGATTTGAAAAAAGTTAACGAAGCTGCAAAGCATTTTTCCAGAAGTCAAATGGAAACTGTTCAAAACTTTCAGCTCGTTCCCCTCGGTGCATGTGGGGGCAGGAGGGAGGAGGAGGGGGGGTTCAGCTGGCAAGCAGCACAGTTGTCCCGGGAATTAATCTGTTCCCATGGTAACTCAAAAGTTCCCGGGAGAAGAACGTGGGAATTGGGATAAAAACATGCTTGTGTTCTCGTGCCGAAAATTACCTCTGTTTGCTGAGCTCTTTAGACCCCCCCCCCTCCTGCAGCTTCACTGAATGTCAGACACACGTAATGTACAGTGCACAGATGGAAGTCAGGCTTATAATAAAAACAACTCAACCAGCAGTTTTCAAAAGGAGAAACATCAGTAACAACATGTGGACTAAAACTCATATGACATAACCATAATAAAGGAGTGGTCAAAATGAGTTTCTCACTAAGACTTTAATAACCTTTAAATTACTGATATATTCCAATTGACAATGGATTTGAAAAGCTAATTGTGACAAATAATGATTTTTCGCCATGAGGTCAATCCTTTGTTGTGGTTGTTTTGTACATGTTACGTTTACCTTGAACATGGTGAAACTAAAGACTGATTTCCATTACAACGTGATGACTTTTTAGTTATTTTGTGTAACCATAAAAACACAAATTGTTTTGAACTCATAATGAAGGGAAACAACAAGCTTACATATGTTTTCTATTTTTACTTTATGTTTGGCAAACACAATCCCATTCAAAAGTCAAAGTAATCATAATCAGCACTAAACACATGTCATACAGAGTCCTCTGTGTGAACATTTGGCGAAATGTAATCAAGTTTTGATTCAATTTAGAGCAACATAATATTCATCATATAATTACAACAGTCGTCTGATTGGGATTTAATATATAGTGCCCTCACAGTTAATTTATTTCTTTAAAAGTGAGATAGAGCTGTTCAATGAAAGATCACATTTTTCTGTTCCCCAAATGTGGCAAACCCACACGATGTATTATGGGCATTTACATGCTTATAAGTGTCGAAAATACAAATTATTTTGTTATATTTGAATTTCAATGTATGTTCTTTGGTGCTCTGTTGTTTGTGCCTTGTAAAAAGTACAAACTTCAGAACTGCATCATATTATAGTTTCATCTTCCTACTCCGTTTTCTACTCCAGTGAAATGCCAGTACCTCAACATTGTATTGGATTTTTAAAGGCTCGAGTAAAAGAAGGAGTACAAAAAAAGTAATTGTTCACGTTCCTCCTCTGTTGAGTTTAGCGTGGACATATCTTAATTCCCCTGAAAGCCAACCTGAGGTACCTGCTGTACTTGATTGTGATATTCAGTGAAGAGTGAGATTGTCTAATTTCATGAGTTGCATGACATCACCTCACATGACTATATTAGCAAAAGGATTGTGCATAGTGTTGTGCGAGTGGTAAAATAAAAAAAAGTGTTGTGTTTGTAGTAATCGGACCGGCAGTAAGCACGAGAGAGGTGGAACCCGTCCAGGCAGACTGACAGGTCTCACCCTTGTTGGCAGTTAAATCATAGGAAGTAAGCCAGAAGACAAAACGACATTAGAGGCAGTCAGTTTCATTGGCGTGTTATTCTTAACCCCTGCAGGTATGCTATTAACCGTTAACTCTGCACACTTATCTGCAGCGTTGAAGTGTGTTTAGGAAGTGGCTAGCATCAGTCAGCCCAACAGAGGAAATGGTCTATCTCAGTTCTCCTCCTTACACACGCACTTTATCATGCCAATTGCTTCAACGCAAAATTGCGTCTCCTGGCCCATTCTTATTCTTCCCTCTGACAAAATTAAAACACTGAGACTGACTCACTGAGCCTCATGGTCACAGCTGAGAGGACTTATTTAGAGGGTCAGTTAGTCTTGTGACTGAAATATTGTTTTGTAAAGTTAAAGGTAATCAACTTATTGCTGTAGGTGTATCAATTACTCAAGCACCAGATTCATTTCGTAGATGGGGACATTTTCATAAATGTACAATGTCTAACATTGTAAAAGTATAAGGTACAGTTTGGTTTGCGGCAAGATTTAACACAAAACAAAGACTTTGCTTTACAGTTTTATCCAGCCCAGTCAGATGTGCTGATAAAAACAGATCTACAGTATCTCAGATCAATAGCTGAAAAGCTTCCTGTTAACCATCACATGTGGTGAATTATTCCCTATGTGTACTGAAAGGAGAGCCTACTATTTAACAATATAATGTATTGTTAATGCTATTCTTGCTACTTCGAGATATAATTATCTAGATGACTTACAGATTTCTGACTGTCTGCATTCATCCTGCCAGTCTCTGTCTGTTAACCATCGTCTCAGTTATCAGTATAATCCTGACCTTGACTCATCTGTGGTCATAAAGCAGTGAATGCCTTCACTTAGTGGAGATGAAGTGAACCATTCATTTAGCTAAACCCTCTTATCTCTGACTAACCCAATTTTCCCTTAAAAATGCCATCATCAGATTCCCTCAGACGGTCGACCCGCCGGCATTATTCATCCTGTTAAAGGGGCTCATTCATTAGTACTACTGTAACTGTGGAATGTACCCTGAAGCCTCCCATCCTCATTATGTTATCAGCTGAAGAGGGATTCCACAGTGATCTGAAGTTTTCACAGCATCTTCCTGTGTTTCAATACTTACTCAACATGTATTTTAGTGGCATGAAGTTAGAGGCATTATGAATACACTTGAATCCGTCCGCCGTTGGAATGCTAGGGCATAGAGGAAATTGACTGAGGCTTTGACTCAGGTTACCTGATCCTGCTCTTACTCAGCATGAGGCTTGCCAAACATTGTTGTGCTTCAGTAATAAGGCAGTGTAGTTATGGCGCCGTTCTGACATGTACATGATGGATGCTGCACAGAGATGGATTGTTCTGGTTCAGCTCACTGTCAGTAAGTTCCATGCTGCAGAATGCAAGTGTTTGCTTGTAGTGTGCATGCACGCATTCCTGATGGGACTGTAGGGGTTGGACCGGGATGGAGCTGACAGAATCTACGCCCCGTGGCTGTTTCTAAGATCTAGTGTCCAGCCACCCAGAGGTCAGGAGGTGTCGGCTGTTTGTCATATCTTCAGAGCATGCAGGGACAGGCCTCCCAGCCTGCACTGCAGTTTCCCTCCTGCACAGGTGGTCTTTACTCTGTCAACACCCCAATAAAGCCAGTTATTGCCTCTCTTAAGAGTAATTGGGAAATGATTGGAAGTGGCACTTGAAACCCCACTATTAGCTTATACAGCCTTAGAGGATCGTAATGCTTGTCACAAGGTTTAACCTCCTGTAGAGGTTAATTGAGAAATATCTGTTTGGCTGGGTTACAATAATACAAAAGATAAACTGATGGTTGATGGACTGCATAGAGGTGTCTATTTAAAACAAAAAACGTTTTTGTTCTATAGTTAAAAAAAAAAGGGTGCTTGGATAATATAGAAAGAGAAAGGTGGAATGAGTTGAGTTCTGTTGTGTAAAAGTGTGTGTTGTTGTTCTAGACGTGAAGCAGCTTGCCAGGGCGAGAGGGCCGGTATCTACCTGAGTGATCTGAATTTTAAACGTCTCCCTCTCCAGCTTATCTCTGCTTTTGCCTGCTTCTCTTTCCCTCCTTTTTTTCTTCAGACAAACTCTATTTTGAGGCTGAAGGTGTACAAGCAATGAAGTGAGTGTGTGTGTGTTTTACGTCTGCATGTGTGTTTTGGGCGGGGGCGGGTTTATGACTCCTGGTTCTTTTCTTTTGGCAGAGAAAGCTGCAAAGTGAGTGAGACAGCAATAGGGCAACACGTCACAGCATGTCGCTGTGTGTATAGGGCCAGGATTATTAAAATTGTATCTATGTTATTTGTGTGCTTACTTTTGAGTTATAGTGTGGGTGTGGGAGTTTGTTTGTATGCGTCATTGTAGCTGCTGAAGCGGACTTTCTACTACAGCGGCCATGTGCGTGCTGTTTGTTGACAAATTTGCCGGTCCTATTTTGCTGCGCATTTTAGTCTGTGATCAAACACGCACTGAAGTTATGGAACACACTGGCGTCACTCTGCGGCTGACAGATGGAGGGCAATTAAAAATACCTCAGTAACATCATTAGTGAGTGGAAGAAGTGATTTCACTTACTCTCTTGTTAGTGTACTAATGCATCTCCTTCCCATTTGACAGCACTGCAGAGTTTCAGGAACCCATTAGCTGCACCCTCTTTGGATAGACTATATGGGCACATTTACTTTGCTTTCAATACGTCTCCCTCACTCCTTCACTCATTAGCGCACCAGAGCCTGTTCAGGCCACAGAAATGTCTAAGATGCCTGAAGGCTGAGGAGCAAGTAAGAGCCTGAATGAATGTACCGCCCCGAGGTGGGAGAGTAAAGTGAGGCGTGGAAGGGGTTGAGGATCTACAGTAGGGGTCGGAGGTCAGACCCTGGGGCGCCTGAGGGATCTTATCAACAGCTGTCTGTTTATGTCTTTATAGGATGGACAGCAAATAGCTTCAAATGTACTTTTAATGAGGCTGCTTCAAACTCTCCTCTATGATGGTTCCATAAGTGCCCAGGGTGTTCCATAGGCATTAGCCGTAACGACAAACAAAGATGTGTATAGAACGCTAATGCTCAGTGCTCATTAGCTAGAATGGGTTTGGAGACGCTTACGATCGAGTTATGTACCTGAATCTGAATTCAGACTGTTGTCCCACGTTTG